TCGGTGATGTGAACCAGTTTAACGCTTTCGATGAAGCCGCTTTTCGAATCAATGGTATTCACCGTTATGAACCGGCAGCTGATTAAAGATAATTCGTATTCGTAGTTGATAACAAACGATTATATGTATAAAAATATATTTAAAAAATAGTACACACACACGCACCTATCTATCTATCTATCTATCTATCTATCTATCTATCTATCTATATAAATATATATATATATATATATATATATATATATATATATATATATATATCAGAAGACAAACTTCGTAGATGGTGAAGAAGGATTATATGTATAAAAATATATTTAAAAATAGTACAAACACACACAAATAATATTATATATATATATATATATATATATATATATATATATATATATATATATATATATATATATATATATATATATATATATATATATATATATATGAATTATATATGTGTTTGTAATCAAGAAGAAAAACTTAAAGATTCATTCTGGTTATAATTTATTTCGTGAATATCTATTCATCTCTTCATACCGAGATCTCTTAGGAAATGGATACAATACCAAGGATTGATATATTAGATTGACAATGAGAAAGAAAAGCAAGAGAGAGGAGAGAAGGAGGGGAAAAAGAAAAGTGACGGATGCTCAGATGCTTTTAAAAAGTAGGATTGAGAGAAAGTATTGAAAGAAAAGGGAAGGAGGAAGTAATGTATGGATAGCAGCAAGCCTAAAAAGACTGACACGGCCAAGATTTTTTCCTTAAAGTGGGGAACATTGTATAGTCCGTGGTGTTGACTCCATTTCCTAAGATATTTCGATCTGAAGAGATGAATATATATAGATATTCACGAAATAAATTATAACTGAAAGGAATCTTTAAGTTTTTCTTTATTATTATTATTCTCTGTAATCTACATTGAGCTCTCCCTGGATTAATATTCTCTTTAGAATTGTCCCTACCCGTCACAAATTGGTAATATATACAGTTATGTGTAAATAGCAGGACAGAATGAGTTCTATAGCCTTGGATGGCAACTTGTCTAGGAGAAGGATAATTCTGAATTCAAAACCTGAGGAGGGTCGTTTGTCGACCATTGTGGTTCACGGTGCATCAGGTCTCTGTGCCCGACTCTTAAAAAAGTGTGATTGATTCTGCACAAAACTTTCACCACTATAATCAATTCGTATGTGCCGGTGTCTGGCTGTCGGTTCCTAGGAACTGAGCCGCTTGAGCCTCATAAGTCGAATACGACGGGAGATTCCACCATATATATATATATATATATATATATATATATATATATATATATACACACACACACAAACCCCACCACACGTATATACATACATGCGAGGAAATATTATTCAGTGGAAAGATAGAAAAATGACATGTATACATTCACGAGAAATTTTCGCTACACTTCTAATCTTTGAATTTCAACATACAAATGCGTATGTATAGACACAACACCACCCGTATGTATGAGTCCCGACGGACGACCAAGTGTGTATGTGTGTCTGCGTATTTCATTGGGCGTATGAACATACAACGATGTATTCGTTAGCACGATGACATCACGACGACGTTCCCCCACTTCCATAATAACACTAAAACACGCAATCTACATAAACCCAAAATTTTAAAAAAATTAATCAGTTTGTTTGACGATCGCAAAAGGGTGAAACCCAGGGTACAAACTCACATATATCCAACCAAATATATATATATATATATATATATATATATATATATATATTTATATAATATTTATTTATTATTTATATATATATATATATATATATGATACATGTGTATTTCCTTTTTCATATTTCTTTTGTTTGACACAATTTTGACATTCTTAGAATGTGTTCTGATGAGTGAAGTGTGATAAGCGGTTGCCCATTCTGTTATTTTCTTTTATTATTGTTTTTTTTACTTTCTCTCCTTTAACTACTTTAGTTGGTTTCCATTTTAGCCCTTTTTAATTATGTCCTTTCTTTTTGCTATAAATACGTTCTCTGATGAATTTAATTGACGATGACTTTGGGTAGAGGGACAACAGACTAAAATAATTTAAGGAACCGAAGACGATCCGCAAGGGAAAAAAATAAACCGTGAAAAATGATTTGTAAAAAGAAAGAAGAAACAAATTTAATGGCTGTTAACGTTATCTCAAAATATTTGTCACTGAAAGAATTTAGTTAAAGCAGCAAGTAAACATTCATTCATATTTTGGAATAGATGACATGGCGTCTTTTGATCATATTGGGAAAATTAAATAATTTTCCTGATTGTGATTGAATCCGGAATGGATATATCGAATTCTGTGTTTTCCTCATCGCTCTTTACAATTTTACTGTTAATTTACGACCCACCTTTGAAATGTTAGGCATTATCTGAAATTAATTATCGTGTGGATTTGGAAATTTTCCAATGAAGTTTGTGTTAGAATGTTCCGGTACTAAATCTGTGTACTCTGTATTGAAAATCTGTCAGAACGTAATCGTTTATGGTCATAATAGGTTTACTTCATATCAGCACCGATATTCAGAGTAATTTTAATGATGAATTGGTTTAGTGAAACATTTTACTTAGAATGATGAGTGGCATTATTGAAAAAAAATATCCGTAAATAATTAACAAACCTTTTATAGCCATCTGTCAATAATGTTCCTGTCAACGAAGACTGATTTTACATTTATCTAAGTAGTGATCTAATCGTTCTAAGTATAACCGTTAAACGAAATAAGTGCTGTGTAATTTGTCGCGTGTTTCATATATTATATAAATCCATTACTTATTATTTTACTATAGAAATACAATGAATATCAAGTAAAAAAATAAAAGATTGTCAGTGGTTCAAGAATAATGCCAGGAATATTATTAAAATTGTACGTACTTTTTTGCGACTGTGACAAAAATCATATTTCAGCTATTATGTGAAATATCTATTTATTTTTGTTTTAAAACCTTTACAGACCTTTGTAAATCTTGAAAAGATTGAGATCATTTTACTCTGAAGTATATAGACAAGGATACAATAACAAAGGTACTAATTTCTATTTTGGCTTTAAATATATTTTGTCTTCTGCTAAAAGGAAGTATATGAGATAATATGGCGGGAATATTAAGTCTCTTATCTTTCCTTGTAGAGGCGCTAATGAAAGACAAAACTCTTCTTAGTTTTGGAAAGAAACAATCGTTTATTAATATGACAAAATATTTTTACAGTATATAAATTGTACAAATTACAATATAAGTCTTGCACAAAATTTCCGTTCTATGCCACAAACTAAAAAATACTGATTAACAGTTCTTTGAAATATATATCTAAGTTCTTTTTTGTTAACAACACTTCATAAAAACATTTTTTCTTAAAAACAAAGTAATTCTAATATCTTTCTTACAGAACAACAGTTAATGGAAATCAATCTTATTTAGCAACAATAGAATTTCAAAAATATCACAAATTCGAAAGAAGTGAAAAATGGACAACCGATTTCAGGCGAGCGTTGGTTTCCTAGACACTTTCGACAAAATATCTAGGTCTTCGAAACAGTCGTTCAGAAACGTGAGACAAATAAAATGTGGAGAATAAAAGAACAGCGTTTAGGGACACAGAGGATGACGATTGATGTTATATTTAGTTTTTTCAGTAAAAAAAAATAATCAGAGAAGCAAAATACTGGAAGAGAGTTTCACAGGCAAGAAAATAAATTATTAGAATAGAACTTATATCAACTGTTAAACGATAAGATCTGGTAACAAAACTTGTAGTACGCGTAAATTTACGCAGTCGAGGTACTAAGGAGGAAATGATCGTTAGGACAACAGCCATGACAATTTCAGTTGTTCTAATGAAATTCTTAATTTAAAAAAAATACTTATCAAGAAGACATAGGGAGATTACGTTAAGACAGTGCTAAATAAAGACCGATAACATTACAGACCCTTGTTTGGATTTTGTCGACAATCTTGAGATATATAGCAGGAGCCCCAGACCAGATATGGCTGCGATTTCCATGCACGGCCGAATTGTAGATTTATAAATGTACAAAATGGATTCTGACGCGAGAAATTGTCTGGCACGACACATTGAACCAACTTACTGAGTGGCAGACTGAGCAATTGATTCAATATAATCGCTCCACTCCATGTTTATAGAAAACGTGAGACCAAGAAAGCGCAATAGTTGCTCTCCTGCAGGTTAGTATCAGCCATGTTGAATGAAGGTGGCAGAAAGACAGCAGCAAATAATTTCCATCAGCATAAATACCGAGTTGGGAAATGATTAATAAAATTAGATTACTATTAGTATAACAACAGATATAATAATACTAAAACATAACAGCCAGTCTTTAAGAAATGCCAGTATGTTTCAATAATGATGTTTGCTTTTATTTTTGTAATATTTTTGGTAATTTGTGAATGTATGGAGATTGCCATCTTCGGGTATCGGACTCATTAGGCAAAGATTATTCGGTATTTCCTTTTCACATGTTGTCTGTCAAAGAAATATTAAACTGCAAATATTTAAAGGCTTCTGATGAGGATATAAAAGCGGTAATGGGACATTTCAGACTGAACTTTGCACAAGCCGACATGACTGTTTGCTTTAGTTGTGTCCACTTGTTTTCGGCGTCATACAGTTTCAACGAATATCTATTTAAGTATATAATTTGTGTATCGTAACATCACAGGAATTATGTATCTAATCAGGCTCGAAGAAATTGTCTGCAGACAGCAACTCTAACAATTAGTGCATAGCTTCTACTTATTGAGTCGCTACATAACTCCCATCCAGTTTTGCACACAGAGCCTTGCCTGGAGTGTTATGGTTTCAAGATCGTTAATTGTATATGAATTTTCAAGATTGGTGCAAACAACAAGAGGTTCCATAGTTTGTAATTTCCCATATTGGCAGTTAGGATCATCATCGGTGGCATATCCCCGTTTCTGAATGTTGCTTCTACAGCGACCAATAGCTTTTTGGAGGCGATTCAGGCAGCGACAGGCAGGCCCAGGCAGCAACAGGCAGCGACAGGCAGGCCCAGGCAGCGACAGGCAGGGTCAGGCAGCGACAGGCAGGCCCAGGCAGCGACAGGCAGGGTCAGGCAGCGACAGGCAGGGCCAGGGAGCGACAGGCAAGGCCAGGCAGAGACAAGCAGCGACAGGCAGGCCCAGGCAGCGACAGGCAGGGCCAGGCAGGCCCAGGCAGCGACAGGCAGGCCCAGGCAGCGACAGGCAGGCCCAGGCAGCCCCAGACAGGCCCAGGCAGCGACAGGCAGGTCCAGGCAGCGACAGGCAGGGCCAGGCAGGCCCAGGCAGCGACAGGCAGGCCCAGACAGGCCCAGGCAGGTCCAGGCAGCGACAGGCAGGCCCAGACAGGCCCAGGCAGCGACAGGCAGCGACAGGCAGGGCCAGGCATCACTGTATGTAGGGGGGGGGATTTTGTAGGGCTAAGACAGAACTTCGGCTCCACAGTCTTAAGGTGCCTGCTGCACATGAAAAAACGCTGTTGTTTAGTGGTTCGCATATAAAACATTATACATTTTCTAATGCTGTCCAAGTAAAACATAGAGTAAATGACAAGCTCAGTGTCATATTCTCTGACGTCAACAATATGTACGTGGATAAGGAGTGTTAAATACTGTCCACATACCATGGCTGCCACAGCTACATAGCCACATCTACACTACTTCTTTAGCGCATGTGATTATTTATCGCGATATTATTTTTATCTCATGTCATGTCACAAGAATCTTTTTTAACATTTTTCTCCTCATGCTTGTCTTTTCCCATTGTCCTAACAAGATGCAATTGTCATTTATTATGCTGTCTTTTGCAAATTTCTTTTTTGACCTGCTATAACTCTCTCTCTCTCTCTCTCTCTATATATATATATATATATATATATATATATATATATATATAATAAATTAGGGCATCAGACGATCACGCTACCCCGGTTTCGACCTTTCGCTATACTCAGTCGATAAGGGCAAAATTACTCATACATATATAAGAATACAAACACATACGCACATACATACGCATATGTGTGCGCATGTGCGTATATTTGTTTTAGTATATATACATATATGTATGTGTTTGTTTATATATATATATATATATATATATATATATATATATATATATTTGTGTGAGTGTGTGTTTTAGCATATATATGTGTGTGTTTGTTTTATCATTTATACATATATGTGTTTGTGTATGTGGTTGTTTAGTATATATACACACATATATTTATGTATGTGTTTGTTTTAGAATATATACATATACATCTGTGTGTTTTTTTAGTATATATACATGTATACGTGTATGTTTTTTCGTTTTAGTATATATACATATACGTGTGTGTATTTTAGTGTATATATATATATATATATATATATGTGTGTTTTTTTTTTACTATATATACATATATGTCTGCTTGTTTAGTATATATATATATATATATATGTGTGTTTTTGTTTTAATATATATATGTGTGTGCGTTTGTTTTAGTGTATATACATACATATATGTGTGTGAGTTTTAGTACACGTGTGTGTCTTTTAGTATGTATATATATATATATGTGTGTGTGTGTCCGTACAGTTTGTACGTTGCTGGTATCGGTATTACTCTATCCATGCGTAGTTTTCATCCACAAGCCACTGTTACGAACTTGTTCATCTATCAGACATTGTATCCTATTGATTTTCATTTATCGTTTCTTTTACTGATTCAGCCATCATAGATCCATAAATGAACATTAAATCTATGCTCTGAAACTGGCGACAGACATAATTTGATAAGCTAACAAATAGCCCTCAAGGGCTTTACTCAGTGTATTTAGATAGACCTGTGTCAGTTCGTACAATCTTTATTAATTTTATAAAACCGGATTCGAATTATAAGTGATCACTACTTTCTTTTCTTTGCAACAGCCATATATATATATATTTTATATTTGTATCTGTGAATATATATATATTGTATTTGTATCTGTATATATATATATATATATATATATATATATATATATATATTGAATAGGCACCAGCAAATATTACAAGTAGGCCCTTGACGCGAAGAAAAAAAAAGTTATACAAACTTGTTACATGAAATGTCTGAATAATTACGATTAGATATTGTGTAATTCCAGAGGGCTTCCTTCTTTTTTTTTAAACCGTAAATTAGAAAGTCGCTCTAAGGAGATGGTGAATAAAATAAGGAAAAATGGCGAGAGGCTTATGCTAACATGCTATTTTGGTTAGAAGACTTTTACATTTATTCCAACTTTATCACAGATACAGACTATCTTATACAAAATTTAACCAGTATATCTTGTAGGCAAGTTTAACAACGAAGATTGTTATCTCTGAGAGGTAAGTTCGATCGTCATTGTTGGCTTCCTAATTATGTCTGTATCCTAATTCGAAAATAAGACTCTTATCTTATAGGGCATTATATGCCTTATGTAAATTGTAGATTTTTTAAAGCCACTAAGACACATGAGTTTACAAAATGAGAAAGAATTTGGAACAGAAACATTAATAATGAGCGGAAAGAGAAAAGAGTAATCAGAAGGAAAGTTGTAGCGATTGGCATTACATTTAGATTTTTGCAGATTAAAGTTGGCTGGAAGGGAGAAGTACGAGAAAAGAAACAGTTAGCATAGAACTTACGGCTACATCTAAAACTCAACTGTAAATTAATGAGCTCTCGACGCCAGTCTAGTACTGCGATTAAATTTAAAAAAAAAAACGTCTAGGTACCATAGCGAAATGCTCATCCGAACAATTACCATGAAATATGTAAAGAAAATACGTAGAAAGGCAAAATTACATCGGTGAGAAAGTGACTGAAGTCGAGGAACCAAATAAGGACTAATAATATTTCTGATTCTTCTTTGGATTTTATCAAAGATCTCAAGATAAATAGCAGAGCCACCGTACTATATGCAGCATCGACGAATGGTAGGTAGATATGGTAGGTAGATATGAAGGATATTTTCTGGAGAGAAAAATTGTCTCGGACGACACAGTGAACCGACTTTTTTATCAGCCGACCTAGCAATGGATTCAGTCTTACCACTTCGTGTCAGGTGAGAACGTTAACCCGGGAAACGAGCCACGTTCCTGGAGGTTATATTAGCCATGTTGATGGAAGGAAGAAAGAAATCTCTCAGGTGATTAATAGAGAGACGTGTATTTTCATGAGGGTCAAGTCAGATTAATTGAGTTCTGACAATGTTACCTACTTCCTTGAACAAGATAAATAACCTGTGTTGGGCCTCTTGACAAGTATATTGATTTTATCTGTATAGTTAACTATTGGTTCAGAAATAAACCAAAATCACTACTAATCTAACTGGTGAGGTTCGATAACTTAAAGCGAAAGTAAACGAGAGTGTGTATGGATGGGATCGCGCATAAGACTTGGTTATTTGCAGTCAGCTATAGCCAAATTTAGATACTTGAAAAGTCAAAGCCCAAACTGTTTAATCGAATATTTTTGCCCATTCCAAAGAACTACAGAGCATCCGATTCCAATTTTCTTGGATTTCCGTTTGGTGTTATTTTCATCCTGCTGTGTGCTGGTATTTTCAAAGTTTCCTCGTTCCAGTGAGCTGAATCAAAAAAATGGATTGCGTTAAATTAAGACCTGACGTTAACCCATGGTGAAGAATTGTAAGTGGAGAATGTCATGAATGGTAAAAAAAATAGCATCGGAACCAAATCAATAGAGAAAGATGTAAAAAAATAAAAGAAAGAGACAAAGAAAAATTGTGAAAAACTGAAAGCAAACTCGTTTGATAACATGCGGTTAGCATAATTAGAAAAGTCTCTTGAGTTAAATTTTCTCCAGGTTCACAATTATATTTACGGAAAATGTCAAAACAAAGTGGAAATTCACTAAAATAACGAAGAAAAATTCAGTCTATAAAAAATAATCAGTTATTCGTATCGTCTGCTTTTTCAACGGAATCTCGAATTTATTACAACTGTATAAAATCTTCTTTTTTTTGTGATATCATATTTATTCCTGTCGATCTCTCCAGATTAAAAAGAAAAAAGACATTTACAGAACACTGGGTGATTCGCTGTGAAACAGTCGTCTCACAGATATAATATTGTGAGTTCGATCAAAACTGGATCAACTTTTACCTCTTTCCTATAATAGATTTTATTGACAGCAGGAAAAAAACTTCAGAACAATAAAGAGCAAGCTATTTGGTGTGGGGGTGGGTGGATTTCATTGCTGCGATCGAGCATCGCAGGATACTTCAAATTTATCACCTTGTACGAAACCAAACAAAAATTTAGCAAATAATCAGATAATTAATGACTTTATTAAACTTTTTAATTGAACTGTAATAGCAACATCTTTCTTTTATTGCAAAAATGTTTATGGATATTTTTGTTTAAGTCTAGGTTATACTATATAAGGATGTACTCTTAAGCAAAAATAGAAAGGTACGTTGGAATAAAAGTGAAGTTTTTTAAATTTATATTCCCCGAATATAAGGCATAAGAGCTACTGAAGGAAGAGGTTTACTAGATGATGTTTTTGTGTGAGCGGTAAGAGGAGGAGGTAAGAAGTGCAGTATAAGAGGATATATAGAAAAGACTAGCAGCATAGCCCAGCGTTGCTCGTGCCTGATTCAAAAATCGTACGACTCATACAGCAATCGCTATCACTTGACTTAAAATATGTTTGCCCTTCCTTGCCTTTAAAGGAGTGCCCTTTGCCGTGCTGATGTTGCTACATGCCTTACTTCTTGCCTATCTCACACTGCGAATTTTTTCTAAGCTCTATACTAAACATTAAATCTGTTACGAAAAAAGAACTAAACAAAATGAACACAAAACGATCAGCTTTAAAAAAGGACTCGTACCTGGAAAAACCGAATGAAAAAAGAATGTTAACAACAATTACTTTTTCACACCCAACTCAGTTCTGCGGAATCCGAATCAACGTTGAGTTTAAGCAAGCGAATGAGACAGTTTGAGTAAAGTGCCAAGCAGATTTAAATTTTTCTCAGATTTTTTTGCATGTTAGCACGCTAGTTAACATTTGTGTCAGTCAGCTGTTGGCGCTCACACTGGCCAATAGAATCTTCCTGCGTATTCGTGGCAGACAGTTATTGGCTCTCACTCTGGCCAGTACAAAAATACTGCAAACTACATGAAAACTGCCGTAGAAGCATGAAAAAATCGATTATTTCCACTATCGATGGGAGTTGGGAAATGCAAAGTCGATCTTGGCCTTCCCGCTAACTTGGATCATGCGCATGTACACTTTGGTGCAAATCCGTCGAAAATTGCGGCCGTGCATTCGTTACACACAAACACACACACACACACATCCTGCCTTTTAGAGATAGAGATAACGGTTAACCTTAAAGAGTTTAACTTCGTAGTCATCGGGAAAGCATAAACTCGGGAGTTTGTTACAGAAAGTTGCGGTTCTTCGAAAAAAGTTTTTCGATTTTAACTTCCTTTTTACTAATGTGACACAAAGTTAATATGGTGGGAAATTTCATTAAAAGTTACTGTGTTTTCGAAACAAATGGAAAATAACATTAACGTGGCTCGAGAATAACAGCGGATAGTCTGAAAAAAAAAACTTAATTTGCCAGGCAGTCCCGTCTATTTCAGGCGCTAGAGAAAGAATAACGATATCGATTGTCAGGTTAGCAAATGAAATAAGCGGGTCACACTGAAATTACTGCCAATGCCTTTGCTTTAGCTTTCACGAAAATACATTTGGAAAAATAAGAACCGAATCCACTTCATAGCTAACGTTTGATAACAGGGGAGACTCGGTTCCCTAGACTTGTTTGAAAACCAGTCTAGAAGGGCAAAATTCAAAACCGGTTGTAACATTAATCCGTAAAAACTTGGGAAACTACAGCAGCAACACTTAGGTAATAATAGTTCTATACGCTATTTTCCTATTGGTTCTATGTTTTATTATGGTGTTGTGCATTCCTTAACTTCGGTGATGGGACGAGTACCGATGATTTAATATAGTATGCCCGTGAGCGCATTTTACTAACAATGATAATTCATTGAGCGAGCATTTGTGCTCGACTTATGCTTTTTTTTTTTTCCATGTCTACCGGAATCAAATTGTAGTATCTGTTCCCCTCATTTGTAATGGTAGAGTTAATATTAGCAGTTTCCTTATAAGAAATTTTTCGATATTCATTCATCGAAAAGTCAGCACTACTGTCTGGTGACGTTTATAGTGATTTTCCAAGCGTACTTTATATGTGGCACAAGGCCGAAAGTAGAGGGCCCCCAGTGAGTATCGAACTCACTACAAACTGTTCTAGCGGAACAAGCTTGCTAACCATTACACCGCCTCGATGTGCCCTAAGTTTAGTGATTTTCCAAGCGTGACTTAGATGTGGCACAAGGCCGAATGTAGGGGCACCCAGTGAGGATCGAACTCACTACTCAGTCGTAATTGTTCTAGCGAGACAAGCTTGCTAACCATTACACCTCGTTGGTAACATTTATACAATTTTTCTTGGGAAACGTTTTTTTCGGGAAAATAGTTTTCCCATGTCCATTAACCGCTGTCGCTCTTTGCCGTTTTCGTAGTGGCTTTCTTCCTTCCCTTTTATTTGCGGCAGTCTGGAACGTTAGCATTTTGATTATATCATTATTCTCTTTTTGAGCTACATGAGTTACCTATTTTAGATGTTGCTGCTGCTGAAAGTCATTAAGTGATGTGGATTGTGTTATCCGGTACAGTTCATTGTTTGTGATTCTGTAACTCCTGTTAATGATGTTCGAAGAAGGTTGGTTCTCGCTAAGACCTACAGTCTTTCTTCGCTCAAATGCAATCTTAATCAATCTGAGGAAGTGGGAGTAAAGTGTGCGGCAGAAATACCTCCCACTATGTAAAAGTTGACAAACAAACCTTGTCAATTTCTGTTAAAACAATTATTTCAGAGTTGTCTAAATAAAGGGCGATAGTTTTTTTTTTTTTTTATTCACTTGGTTTTAAAAATAACATCATGCAAATTGTATTCTCTATTTGCCATGCACTATTGTAAACGATTTCTAAAGTATTCAATTACCCGGAAATTTGAGCGCTTCGAGGTTTTCCAGTTGGATTTCCTTTAACGGTGAATCTATGACCCTGATATTTTCAAACCATAGCAATATCGGTTTTCTATACAGAACAACATGATTCCAACGTAACATGAAATGTGCACGAAAAGCTGTGTTGAATTTACAGATTTCCCAGTTTAAAACATGTTTCAACACGAAACACACAGTTGGCACCGGTCCAAGATATAATAGTAACTGATGGTATCTGGAAAAAATGTTTGAAAGGGCAGAATTTTTTAAGCAGGTGGCCGTATGATGTATGGCTAAACACAAGACGGTCCGCGCTACATAAAAGATTCAAGGTAACTTTTCCTAGTTGGTACCCCAACTATTTTCACTACAGAAAACCATATGCATACGCATATACCTTAGAAATGGGAGATTTTCTTTTTTCAGAAAAGATATTTCTATAATTAACTAATTGAAGTCTTGGTGTAATATTATCACTGATGACAATGTGATTAACAGGTGTCGCTCTGTGAGATTTATCTCTAATTTATTAATTGGGAAATAAAAAAAGAATATTTCTTATCCAGAGAAAATAAATCAAAAAATTATTATGAATGAAACATTTTTTTTCTCTCCAAAGTAAAATATTTTTAACGCGTATGATAATCCTTAACGAAAATCGTCAATGATATAAAATTATGAAAACGTCATTTTCGCCGAAAGATTTCAAAATTCACGCGACACTGTATGTAACCATTGTTTATGAATGACAGAGTGTGTAGGTAAACAATTGATTACGAAACAAAAGACGATTTTAAGAAACGTCATTTTCAGCATGAAATTAAGTATGTCATTCAGAAAGACCAAAATGGCCGTAGTTTGTCCATGATGAACTAGATAAAGACAATGATACGGGGGGGCCGACACTATTTTTCAGACACTTCATTTTTTCAAGTTTTAGGTAGCACAGGCAGTCTGTACTGTTTTAGTGTAATGGCAATAACATTTAAAAACTGTTTCAATACTACAAATAGAAAAGCAGAATTCAAATTAGAAGTATTTTTTATTTTTTTACAAATTTTCACATTACACAGGCGACAGTATTTTTCGGACATTGCAGAAACAATGCTAATAGTTTACGGCAGCACCCTTTTCTAAATGACTTCTATCAGTCTATCTTCATAATGTTCGTACATATTGATAATAACGTCTCTTCGCGTTTCTAGCAGTTTATTTTTAGCATATTGTATGCGCTGCCACAGATCAGACTCTCTGGTTATTTCTGGCCCGTCGTAAACAAGCTCTGCAAGCATTTCCTATATGCTTTCAATTAAATTTAAGTCTAGACTTCTTGCAGGCCATTCCAGAGTAGTTATATTTCATTCACACATCCAATTTTTCACTGATATGGCCACATGTATGCTGCAAAATAAAATTACTTCCCATTTCTTTTTCTATGAGTGGTAGGGCTCTCTTTTCCAAAAGTTCTCTGTAGGTCAAGCTATTCTGACGTCCTTTTAACCACTCGAGCCACAAGTTTCCATTTGGAAATACCATACCCCATACCATGACCCCTCCTCCTCCCATCTCTCTCTTGTTGAGAATAACAGGTTCACCTTTTCTCGACCACCCGTCAGGCCCATCGAACTTAAAACGTTTTTCATCAGTAAATATCACTTTCTTTCGACATTGTTTGTTATCGATCTTTTGGCGATTCTCAGCCTTGCCTCCTTGTGTTTTCTCGTTAGTGCAATTCTTTTTTGATTTTAGCACACTTAAGTCCAATTTCATGTAGCTTTCTTTGTACAGTTCGAACACTGCCGTCAAGTTCACACTTCTCCTTTACTTTCTTCGCTGTCACCTTTTCTCCAGATGATAACAACCTCGTAACACTCCTCTTCATTCTTCTTTCTGTTCTCTTGGAAATTGTTTTTTTTTTTTTCCTCTCTTCTTCTTCCGCTCATAGTCTGTACTTAGCATGTATTCAACTGTTGACTTCGGTAGCTTCATCTCAGCAGCGATCTTTCGGATGCTGAGCCCGTCTTCTCTCTTCTTTTGGACCAAACTGATGACTTCTTTTGAATGCATTCTTCTTCAGGATTTTAATACGTTTTCGCAGTGAATGGTAAAGATACTCAAATGTAATGGTCAGGGTACAATTTACCTGCAGAAAATTTACATATTTTAGACGTTCGACGACTAAATCATTAAAAAACCCGGAATTTGTGTCATGTCCGAAAAATAGTGTCGCCTAAGTTGAAATAAAAATAAAGAAAACATGTAACCAAAGACAAACCCATCAATCAATGTTCATACCATTAATGGACAGTTACTGCTGAACTACCTACTCATCAACAGAAAAGCTCTCGGCAGCAAAAAACACCTTTAAGCACACTTTTCAAAGTGTCCCAAAAATAGTGTCGGGCCCCTGTATTACTTGCCTAAATTCACTAGCACCACACAAGTGGCGATTTAAAATGTTGGGGTTATTTCTGCCACGCACTCTATTTTGATTTAAATAAATAGGAAAACAATTATAATAGATTTAAATAAAATTATAGACGTCTACAATATTTCATCATTATATTTAGAGTTTCTTATTTCATTTAAGATAATATTTTAATTTTCCTTTTAGCAATGTTGATTTAGATTTACATTTTACCAAACCCAGGTGTGCAAGTAACGTAATTGCTATTGGCGCCAAAATGTAAAGTGGTGAGTGGAGTTCCTATTTCTGCCTAATCTAGTGAGTTCATTTTTGCACTAATGCTCTTAGGAAACGCATGAATGCATCATTTTTCACCACAGCTACGGGTTAAATATCAGAGTAGTGTGCAATCTCTAGTGGCAGCCAATCTAAAAATGAATAATCTGAATTCTATTACTTTGAGACAGCATCTGATAAAGTCTCCATTATCTTTCCAGGAAAGAAGGGATATTCAGAGATTATAAAGCAAAGGAAACTGTGTAGAATTGAAGAGATATGACATTAAAAACAAAACTCCAAAATACATAGAATGCGCCTCGTTTTCGTTATTTGTATTAAATTCCTAATTTGGTTTGCATAGTTTTTTTTTCTGAACTTCTGAATAAATACTTGTGAATAAATCATGTTATTTACACTCGAATTATTTTCCTCATCTTTCTTGTTATTATCACATCATTTCAGCGGTTTTGCTCTCCGGCCTTTATCAGCTGCTTTTTGATCTAGGTGGCACCCAGGGAATTTCTAACTTTATTTAATCTTCGATGGTAGAGTGTTATTGTTTCGCTGAGCATGTCTAGGGATATATCGTGCAGTACTTATTTAGTATCGGTGCCGAATCCCTTCAAGACATGGACAATCATGGCTCTCCAAAATTTCCTATGCCTTCAAAATTCATTTACACAAGCTCGTTTACTTCCCCTATCTCTCTTCCTTTCAGGGTGCCCTGTAAGGGTCTCATTTTCTAATCCCACTTCCCTCATAATATTCCAAAGAATTTCAGTCTTTGATTCTGAGTATAAGCGTTTTTGGGGCATTTTTCTTTGACTTCCTCGTTGCTTACCAATCCCATATATGGAAATATCAGTCTCCTTTTGTATAACCCCATTTCTGTTGCATCCAGTTTTCTCCTCATCCCTGGGGAGATTGTCCAGTTTTCTCTTCCTAATAAGAAGTGGGATATCCCATAGCCATTCAACACTCTTTTCATTGTTTCTAACAATTACTTTTTTGTTCCTCAGTACCTAACTTAGATTTTGGGAATACGTCTTTCGCTAATTTTGACTTCGGTATTGCATTTTCCATTCACTCATAAAAGATTTCCCAGATATTTAAACGTCTGTACTTGCTTAATGTTAGCATCTCCAATTTGTAACCCACACCTAGAGCTTTTAAACTTGTTGATGACCATACAAGTGGCATGGTGGAGTAATGGGTAGCGGCTCGGATTGAGGAATCGGAGAGCCATGTTCGAATTCCTTACGAGCTAATACCTTTGGGAAAGGTATAAATCGTTCTTTTCTCCCCCAGCTATGGGTAAATAGCAGGGCAGAACTAGTTCTGTACCCTTGAATCGCAACTGGTCTACCACAGAAAGAAATGGCAACCTACTGCGGGAAAAAATCTGCCTCGTTAGTTGTGTATCGAAAGATACATGATCGCCTATGCACATCATGTATCATGCACATAACTGACTGATGACCATACTTTCTGTCATCTTACAGTTGATAATCTTTTTTTTTTTTTTGCACAATTTCTTTTTCTACACTATGAAGAATGTCCTGTAGATTTCTTTCAGTGTTATCAGCGTATCTGACATTGATAATGAATCCTGGTAGGTTCGTCTTTTTTGTTAGGATAGCCTCGCTGCAGAAGCTGATTAGATCTGGAGAGAAGACACATCCTTGTCTTTCCATTTTTGTAAAGCTGCTTACTATATTTCTATTCGTATGCACGATTTTTTAAAAAATTTCAATTTCAGTTCTAAATTATTCTGGCTTCCTTTTAAATAGTTTTAGCTTTCATGCAGTTCAAATAGGTCCTGCCTACTTGCGACTCGCAAGGCCCTAGTGGCGTTCTGGCGGACTGCCTATGGCAGCCACCGACGGGCAATCGCCAGGCCACCGGTCGAAGTCTAGCGGTCCGAGAGTGGTAAGAGGAAGACGCTGGTGGTTCGACACGATGCCATCATCGGTAAACACTAGTATCATGTCACCCAATGGCAGATTGGTGGCTTGTGTAGTGTCAAACCAGTCTAGAAAGTTACTCCCATACAACTTGAGTGCATTCGGCGATGCTTTGCTTTTCTTACTGTTTGGTTTATATATATCCAGAATAATATATTTTTGTTGAAATCTATCTATCTATCTGTAAATATTATTATATATATATATATATATATATATATATATATATATATATATATAGTTTTTTCTAGAAAATTGATGGTCGAGAATGAGTTAACATCTCCTGGAATATTTAACGACGAATCGAGACTGAACAATGCATTGAGTGAAAAAAAGTAAATGTCACTATGCAACGCACAAAAAAGTAAAAACACCAGTGTGGTATGATGTGAACAGATTATATGGCATTTGATAATGTAAAACTCACAAATAAGAAAAAAAGTAACAATATCAGTGTGAAAAATGAGAAATCCATATTCGTCCTCGTGAGAAAAGCATAAATAAATAAAACGTAATTTGAAATTGTGGTAAACTGAAATCCTGATTATTTGCGTCGTAAGATTTATTAAGAGAAATGTGATGAATTGGCATATATATATATATATATATATATATATATATATATATATATATATATATATATATATATATATATATATATATAAGAAAAGAAACAAAAATCTGACAGTGGTTATATAAAAATACGATTAATAACTGGACAAAATTAACATTTAATCCGCGTGAACAGGCAGATCAAGGAGAGCGTAAGAAATTAAAAACAAAAAAAAAAAATCTTTGAAAAAAAAATCCGAAAAATGTCTCAAAAGAATTCAGAAATGGTGAAACATGAATCAAAAAACAAAACAAGAATTAATCAAATCCATTAATTCCTTCTTCTTTGCAAGAATTAGCCAATAATTTTTTTTTTTAATAAACATGAACACAAAACCGAGAAATATTGATTGGGCATATATTAGTTTAAACGAAACGGCACTGGATTAAAAATATTTTTATTTATAATAAATTTTACTCTTTTGTTCCCCTCCCCCCAATAAAAAGCTCAAGAGCTATTCAACAGAAGATTAGTAAATGGGGTGATTTTATGGATGTAAGAATTGAAGATAATGAGAATGTAGAATAGATAGCGATTGACTGTAGACTTTGAAGAGGTCGACATTACAGTGATCGAGGAATCATTCTGCCACGAGTGTGTTCTATAAGGTAGCAGAACTTAGGAAGCAGCTACCCCAATAGAACTTCCTTTCTATGAAAAGACTGAGGATGTTTCGCTCCTGTGTTCAGGGTATGGCAAATCATCGCAGTAAGTGTTTGATCGGAGGAACTCAGGAATGTAGCTCAAAACATTTTCCATGGAAATATTGTTAGGATTGTGACGTTTTCGCTGTGTGGAAAGGAGTTGTAGGATGGGAAATGATTAATCGCGTAGATGGCTGTGCTTTTGAACATTTTCGAGAAAGAGTGAATAGCTCGAGTCCAGATATGGTGGCAATAATCTGTTTTCCGTCAGATCTGATCTGATCTGATCTCTATAAAAGTAGATATTTGAATGTTTCACACACTTTTATTTCCCAGAAACAAAGAAACTCGTGCTGAAAATGTCATAGAGTATCAGTACTCCTCTATGGCAGCGAATGCTGGACGATCTCCAACCAGATGAAGAATCTTGAAACGACAGAAATTTTGTTTTACATATTGATACTGAGAATACCAATGACCGAACACGTGAGCAACGATGAATATTTAGAGAAAATAGAAACGAAAAGAACCCTTAAGTAATTAACATCATAAAGAGACAATTGAAATTTTTAGCTCACATAATGAGAAAAGAGGACATGGGAAAGACACTCACAGGACAGCTTAAAGGTAAGAGGAACAGACGAAAGCATCACATTACAAATGGATGGCAAAACAGGTTTTAGAAGACATAACAAAAAGACATTTAATAACAGCT